CAGGCTGGAGTGCAGTGGCGTGATCTTGGCTTCCAGGCTTAAGCAATCCTCCCACCTCAGCCTCCCAAGTAGCTGCGACTACAGGCGTGTGCCACCACACCTGGCTAATTTTTGTATTTTTAGTAGAGACAGAGTTTCACCATGTTTGCCGGGCTGGTCTCAATCTCCTGACCTCAGGTCATCCACCCGCCTCAGCCTCCCAAAACACTGGGATTATAGCCTGTTTTTGAGATGTGACAAATTTCCTCAATATGTTATAACAACACAAGTGAATTTAAATTTGTTTGGAGTGTTTTACTTTGTATAGAATTTTGTAGTACCCTGAGAGTTCAAAAAAAAAAAAAGTTTACCCAGGCGTGTAATCCCAGCACATTGGGAGGCTGAGGCAGGAGGATTGCTTGAGCTTAGGAGTTCAAGACCAGCTTGGGTAACTTAGTGAGACCCTATCTCTGCAAATATTTAAAAATTAGCCAGGTGTGGTTTCACATACCTGTAGTCCCAGGTACTCAGAAGACTGATGTTGGAGGATCACTTGAGCCCAGGAGGTCAAGGCTGGAGTGAGCCACAATTGTGCCAGTGTACTCCAGCCTGGGCAACAGAGTGAGATCCTGTCTTTAAAAAAAAAAAAAGTCCCGAGAATCACTGCTACAATTACAGAGAAACTTATTTGAACATTAATTTTGGTGTGGTAAGCCTGCTTATATTTAAATTTAAATAGGAGAAGTGGGTACTTGCTTTTTTTGTTGTTGTTTTTTGAGACGGAGTCTTACTCTGTTTGTCCAGGCTGGAATGCAGTGGCATCATCATGGCTCACTGCAAGCTCTGCCTCCTGGATTCTAGTGTGCAACCTCCGCCTCCTGGGTTTTAGTGATTCTCCTGCCTCAGCCTCCTGAGTGGCTGGGATTACAGGCACCTGCCACCATTCCTGGCTGATGTTTTTGTATTTTTAATGGAGACAGAGTTTTACCATGTTGGCCAGGCTGATCTTGAACTCCTGACCTCAGGTGATCCACCCACCTTGGCCTCCCAAAGTGCTAGGATTACAAATGTGAGCCACTGCTCCAGGCCAGAAATCAGTACCTTTTACTTTTTCTTTTTCTTTTTTTTTTTTTTTTGAGATAGAGTCTTGCTCTGTTGCCCAGGCTGGAGTGCAGTAGCGCGATCTCAGTTCACTACAACCTCTGCCTCCCAGGTTCGAGCGATTCTCCTGCCTCAGCCTCCCAAATAGCTGGGATAACAGGTGCACACCGCCACACCTGGCTAATTTTTGTATTTTTAGTAGTGACGGAGTTTCACCATGTTGGCCAGGCTGGTCTCGAGCTCCTGACCTCGTGATCCGCCTGCCTCAGCCTCCTGAAGTGCTGGGATTACAGGCACAGAAATGGGTACTTTTAAAGTCCTTACTCTGTGCACATTATGAGGAACTCAATGTTGAATCAGACACGATTTGTACTCTAGAGCAGTGCTATTCAGTAGAACTTTCATCGTTCTATGATGGTGGAAATGTCCTATGTCTGCATTGTCCAGTGTAGTAGCTGCTAGCTACATGTGGGTCCCCAGTACTAGGAATGGCATCTAGTATGACTAAGAAACAGAATTTTAAATTACATTGTTTTTATTAAGATATAATTTGCATACCATACATTTTGAATTTTAATTTAAAATTTAACTTTAATTTAAACAACCATATGTGGCCAAAATATTGTACAGCACAGCCCCTAGAGTCTTTAAATCTATTGTGGGAGGGTGATGGGATGTAAACATGTGAAATGTAAGTTAGTAAAATATTTAAATAACAGGGCAATAGCATAAGTGTGCTGCAGGACATGTATAGTTGCCAGATTAACAGCACAGGTCAGGTGCAGTGGCTCACTACTGTAATCCCAGCACTTTGGGAGACTGAGGTGGGAAGATCTCTTGAGCCCAAGGGTACAAGACCAGACTGGTATCGCCTCTACTTAAAATACAAAAAATTAGCTAGCAGCATGCCTGTAGTTCCAGTTACCTGGAAGACTGAGGTGGGAGGATCACCTGAACCCAGGAAGTCAAGGCTGCAGTGAGCCATGATTGTGCACTGCACTCCAGCCTGGGCAATGGGAGTGAGACCCTGTCTCATGCCAGAACAGAAGCAAAACAGTGCAGAAATGCAGGAGCATGTGAGACACCAGCAATCAAGGAAAGATTAGTGTTTGGCATATCAAGTAAGATATTTTTATGAAGTCAAAGGTTCATACAGTGTAGCAATGGAAGGTGGCCTGGGAAGATAGTTTGGGACCAGATTTTAGAAGGCTGTACATGTTATAAACCTAAGTAATCAACTGTTTTCCTGAAGGTAGTGGGAAGCCACTGAAGATATCTTAGGCAGAACAATAATATAATTTTGATGGCAATTTAGATGTATTAATGTGGTTGTGTGTTAAGAAATAATTGAGACAGATTGGCCTCAGGGATGGAATGGAAGTTCAGATGAGAGAGACTGTGTGAAGAATGCTGGCTGTCAACAGGCAGCAGTTGGTCAGAAGATTTAAAAACAAAAAAAGAGGGCCGAGCGCTGTGGCTCATGCCTATAATCGCAGCACTTTGGGAGGCTGAAGCAGGCGAATCACGAGGTCTAGAAATTGAGACCATCCTGGCCAACACGGTGAAACCCCGTCTCTACTAAAAATACAAAAATTAGCTGGGCGTGGTGGCGCGCCCCTGTAGTCCCAGGTACTCGGGAGGCTGAGGCAGGAGAATCGCTTGAACCCGGGAGGTGGCGATTACAGTGAGCCGAGATTGTGCCACTGCACTCCAGCCTGGGCGACAGAGCAAAACTCCATCTACAAAAAATAAAAAAATTAAAAAATAAAAAAAAAGAATACCGCTGGAAATACAGCAAGCTGCTTCTTCCCTATTGGAAGAATGGTATTGAGCTATTAACAGAGGTAAAAAAGTTTCTAAGGAAAACAGTGGTTTTAACATAGTTGAATTTAAAGTTGTGAAAGATTATCTGAGGCATATTTCTGAGTGACAACTGTAAAGAAAGGAGTGCCTCTAGGTAGATCAATATGGATTTATGAGTTTTTCATGTAGACATCAGGG